CCACCTGCCACGTGTGACATATCAAGAAGCTGATTAAACAGCATGATAATTTACAATGGTGCACCTTGGGCTGGGGACAATAAAAGGCCACTCTAAAATGTGCAGTTTTGTCACACAACACAATGCCACAGATGTCTCAAGTTTTGAGGGAGTGTGCAATTGGAATGCTGACTGCAGGAATGTCCCCCAGAGCTGTTGCCAGCGATTTGAATGTTAATTTCTCTACCATAAGCCACCTCCAATGTCATTTTAGAGAATTTGGCAGTACATCCAACCGGCCTCACAACCACAGGCCACGTGTAACCATGACTGCCCAGGATCTCCACATCCGGTTTCTTCACCTGCGGGATCGTCTGAGGAGGGGGAGTATTTCTGTCTGTAATAAATCTCTTTTGTGGGGAAAAACTCATTCTGATTGGCTGGACCTGGCTACCCAGTGGGTGGGCCTTGCTTCCAAGTGGGTGGGCCTATGCCCTCCCAGGCCCACCCATGGCTGTGCCCCTGCCCAGTCATGTGAAATCCATAGATTAGGGCCTAATTTATTTATTTCAATTGACTGATTTCCTTCTATCAAATCAAATTGTATTTGTCACATACGTGTTTAGCAAATGTGATTGCGGTTGTAGTGAAATGCTCCGACAGTGCAGTAATATCTAACAAGTAATATCTAACAATTTCACAACATATACCCAATACACACAAATCTAAGTAAGGATTGGAATTAAGAATATATACATATATGGACGAGCAATGACAGAGCGGCATGGACTAAGATACAGTAGAATAGTATAGAATACAGTATATACATATGAGATGAGTAATGCAAGATATGTAAACATTAAAGTGACTAGTGTTCCATTCTATGAACTGTAATAATGTTTACATATCTTGCACTACTCATCTCATATGTATATACTGTATTCTATTCTGTAATATTCTACTGTATCTTAGTCCATGTCGCTCTGTCATTGCTTGTCCATATATATATATATATATATATATATATATATATATTCTTAAATTCCATTCCTTACTAGTTTTGTGTGTATTGGGTATATGTTGTGAAATGGTTAGATATTACTTGTTAGATATTACTACACTGTCGGAGCTAGAAGCACAAGCATTTCGCTACACCCGCTATAACATCTGCTAAACACGTGTATGTGACAAATAACATTTGATTTGATTTGAACTCAGTAAAATCTTTGAAATTGTTGCATGTTGCATTTATATTTTTGTTCAGAATATATTGAAAGCAGGTGCTTCCACACAGGTGTGGTTCCTGAGTTAATTAAGCAATTAACATCCCATCATGCGTAGGGTCATGTATAGAAATGCTGGGCAGGCCATTATTTTGGCTACCATGGGTATGCCCCCATAGGATGACAATGCCCCCATCCAGAGGGCATGAGTGGTCACTGAGTGGTTAGATGAGCATGAAAACGATGTAAACCATATGCCATGGCCGTCTCAGTCACCAGATCTCAACCCAATTGAACGGTTGCCTGAGACAGCGTTTTCCACCACCACTATCAACAAAACACCAGATTTTGGAATTTCTTGTGGAAGAATGGCGTCACATCCCTCCAATAGAGTTCCAGACACTGGTAGAATCCATACCAAGGTGCATTGAAGCTGATCTGGCTTGTGGTACCTCAACACCCTATTAAGACACTTTATGTGGTGAAAAAAAAAATGTATGCACGCATGACTGTAAGTCGCTTTGGATAAAAGCGTCTGCTAAATGGCATATTATTATTATTATTATTTCCTTTATTTTGTCAGTTACCTGTAAATACCAAATGTATCATTTAATAATCAATTAAATATACTTGGAATATGGAATATAAAATTCACTCAGTGGATATGGTCATATCAAAAATAATGACAGCAAAACTGTGAGAAGAACAGTAAGCCTATGACATTCTTGTAGTAAACCAAAGTCCTAGACCCTGCTGACAACAAACGGTCACAGCCATCACATTAGCCTCAATTGCACCCTCTGCTGGACTTTAATCCCACTGACTGTGTTCAGGAAAAGGACAGGGGGCTGGCTATTTTGTGTAACCTGGGCCCAGTTTTTCAAAAGTTATCTATCTAGATTTCGCCTATCGGATAGAATTAAATGCTTAAAAATAGAATGAATAGAGCAGGAGTCCGCATTATTCAAGACAATGATTCATCCGTTCATTTTATTTCTATGCATTTAATCCTATCCGATAGGCGAAATCAAGATATATACTTTTTTTTTACTGGGCCCAGAGGACATGGACTTTTTAATGAATGTGTAACAATATGGTGCATGACACTGTGATAAATTCTGTAATGATAATGATGATGATGTAAAATCCCTTCAAATATAAATATTTTTAACTAGCTATAGACATGACATGTAACATGATATGATTGTCAACATAGCTACATTTCAGGTTGATAAATTGATTGGAACAAAAAATTTACCTATGTCCCATTACACGTTTCCATTATTACACAATTTAAAATGTGTGTTAAATATACCAGTATGTATCTAAATGCAATTACATAATTGTACCTTTGGTTGATCAAAATGCACTGCAGCTCAGTGCTACTCTGTATAAATAAAGGTTTTCTTATTTAATCTGCACTCTGCAGTGAGATGAAAAATGAAATGGATCCCTCAGTGACTGTTGATTCAGTCATTTCCATAGGGCGTTGGAGGTTTATGTGCTACATTAGTAGGACTGATTCTACACTGTGCTCATGAGATCTAGAGGCTGTGACTTCACCCCCTGTGCACCTGCAAAGATCATACCTATGGAACCAGTGGGGGATTCCTCCCTTAGAGCAATCATACGGCAGCGAAGAGGGGCTCGATCCCCATGCTCATTACCTTTACCTTCCAGCCCCAGCTGCTGGCGAGCCATTCATCAACATTACAAATCCTCCTGGTGTGCAGCTACACCTCCAAGCAGAGAGATTCCTAGACAGGGCCCTGGGACATCCCCTCTGGGTAGTGTTAAATTCACACCTCAACAGGTGCACTGGAAAGAATAGGCCTAGATGAAATGTTGAAGCCACTGTCTACTCAATGAGTTGTATTACAGGGGAGAAATAGTATATGATTTTATATGTACATCAAAATATGATTTTAATTTCATGATGAATTAATTACTTAATGAATTAATGGATGAATGAATTAATGAATACAATACATGCATTCCTGTATTACCTGGCCTATGATGATGATAATGCTCAAGATGAGCAACTAGACAGGCTATAATGTGCACAACAACGTGTATAGAATTGGTGACAATTTCCTGTTGCCTAATTCAGCATATACTGTAAAGCTAATTAAAAGTAGGCCTAAATAATCCAATCAATGATTGCCTAAGTCTGTCAATATCAACGATTCAATCATATTTTTGTCTAATGCTGATATTCTTTAAGCCAGACTCTGAAGAAAATAAGTTGATTCTTCCTCTGCTTGTTTGTGCTATTTATTTAGAATGTATTGGTTTTGAGATAATATTGAGACAATAGGCCTGACCTATTAAAAATGGTGTACATAAAAGGCCTACATACTGTATGTGTCATTCATGGAGCTCAGATGGATTTTCATGGTCAGTTATCTAGAAAAATCGTTGTCACTGAAAATTACTGTACATGGTTTCTTTAGGTTTAATTCAAACGTTGAACTGGTTGAATAAAGTTATAGGGAAATGACCTTCCATTGTCCAAAATCTTCATCCGGGAATCTAAAAACACCGATTTGCGCGTGCGCACTCCTCTAATGTGGTTCGACCTTCTGCAGTCGGTAAGAGGGCTATGTAAGAAATTGTCCATTTGAAAATCCTTTTTCATCCTTCTTTAAAACAACACGTAGCACAATACAAGTGAGGGGTGCATATTGTACGGATTATTGTGTACATTGGACTGTCATTATTTTCAGCGTCGTGCATTTTAAAACCCTTTGACCTTATCTGTCTTGTCTTTGCAGAAAGACCCGGCTTCAATCAAATTTGACCAACCAGGTTAAAACAGACTAAATTGAGAATGTATGCCTGTGCAAAGTTCGTCTCCACGCCGGCTCTGGTGAGTATTTTTGTTTGTATGTTTTACTCAATCTGATTAAACAATGTTTTCTTACATCTGAACTTCCGTTGTATTCGTATGGGCCTGTGTTGAACTTGAATGGAGCTGCCTGACAAGGGTATTAGGTAGTTAATAAGCTAACGTTAATTGCAATGAAATGCCAAATCTTGTATGATAGTAGTAGCTACTTTGATCAAGTGAGAGGCTCTTATTTTAGTTTCCTAACTAGCTGTTTGTGCACATCTGAGACTAGACCCGGCCTTAGGAGCTAGCTATTTAGCCTGCTAGCTAGGTAGCCTGTTAGCTATAGCCTAGGTAGCTATGAATATAAGGTCAGCATGACACTTGTCTGGCTTGCTTCAGCACGCAAGTCTATCAGTAGCTACCTAACGCTAACTACTGACTTATTTTGCTTGAGTTCTCGCATTCTCTTTTGTTTGTGTTCGGGACTATTTACCCAAGGTCATGTTTGGCTATAAACATTGCAGGTTCAGGTAAAACCTAGCTATAACATGTTATAGCTAGTTTTACTGGTAACTGTTAAAGGTATGACACTAGCTTGTGCAAAGTGCACTCAGCTGGTAAGAGGAGTTTTTTGTTGTTGTTGCTTGTACACGGTGGTGTTGAGGAAAGAACATTAACATTACATGTATCCTGATTTGGAAATGCTTTTTGATGACTTAATGGGAATGCAGTTATGTTGTTATTTGTTGCTAGGGTGTGCATGTCTTAGTACAGCTCTGACATTTGACCACCTCAATGACATGGTGCACTTGTGCTGTCTTTGACAGAGGGAAACATAACCTCAGGCCTCTTGTGTTGAACTTTGAACAGTCGTGTGCACCTTAGCATCTGTCTTTTTCTTTATTGCCCTCAAGATAACCTGTGTAGGCTCTCATGCAAAATATTGTTGCTTTTTTCACTCAGTTTTGTGCTTATTCCTGGTGCAGGTCCGTGCTGGCTCCCGTGCTCTTTACAGACCCCTGTCTGCCTCTGTGCTGTCCAGGCCTGAGGTCAAAACAGAGGTGAAAAAAATATTATTGTAGTGGGGGGCCTTATGCTCTTCCAAAGCTTGTCAATCCCTATAATAGTTATTGATGTTGGAGTTCTTTTCCCATCACTAAGGAGGTGTTTGTTTTTCAGAGCAATGTAGCCCTCATGGCACAAAGCCCATTCACCCAGGTAGCACTCAGAGACTTCCAGACCAGTGCTGTGAGCAGGGACATTGATACCGCTGCCAAATTCATTGGTGCTGGAGCCGCCACAGTCGGCGTGGCTGGATCTGGTGCTGGAATTGGAACTGTGTTCGGCAGTCTCATCATTGGATATGCCAGGTAAGTCCACTGCTACAAACCGAGGACTAGATCTGTGCTTGTCAATGTCAGCTTTTGGAAAAACTACGATTCAAACAGATTTTACATGAACTGGTCTGATAATGGTTTGTCTTGTTCTGTTTGGCAGGAACCCATCTCTGAAGCAGCAGCTGTTCTCCTATGCTATCCTGGGATTCGCCCTGTCTGAAGCTATGGGCCTATTCTGTTTGATGGTTGCTTTCTTAATCTTGTTCGCTATGTAAAAAATCTGTCTATAGTAACTGTAATTACAGATGTGACTACACATTTTATCGTGGCTACCAAAATTGTTCCGTGTTGGTGTCATGGAAATGTACATTTTCAAGTCTGTCCGACACTCTCAAAATAACGAAAACATGTATTGTAAAAATGTAAGAAATTACATAATTAAAATGCATGGATTTGACTATTTAACATATGGCAGTAAGTTTTCTATGTTAGGAATTATGTTTCACCACAATCAAGAAGACAAGCTTCTATTGAATGTCAACATGGGATTATACAAAGGAACTGCTTAGACTTAATGTAAATCAGTGTGGTGCATTTGCCATTAATGTTGTCGTTGGTTCAAGTGCAGGTCAATAGCATTGTTAGTAGGCAGCAAGTGGGCGCTTGTAAATGGCATTAAATAAATCTAGACCACAATTTGATTGTGCTAAATAGTGGTCACTAGTCCAGATTATTAGGTATGTTCTCTGTATGAACTTGTGTAGTCTGTCAAAAAGCCTGGAGATCATGACATAATTGCCATTAACAACTATTACAGTTTGGTTCACGCAAAGCATAAAGTTGGTTTATCCCTTGGTGGTAGATTTTAGAGCTTTTCAATGTGCCTAAGAACACTAGAGGTACATTGTCAAATCGGATGGGCCTAGAGGAAATTGGATCTATAATGTATTTGACGCAATGGTTACATTCTCATGCAAATGCCATAAAAGATCAGAAAGATCATGTAAAATGCATGTATTTTCTGGAGATGGTCACCCTTCATACCCTGGCTCCCGGATGTCGCATCCAGTTTTACCCAGGGAACAGAACATTTAAAAACTGAGGATGGTACTACTTGAACTTGTCCAACGAGAATACAAATTTTCGCTTTCAGTTATTTGAAAGGTTTTGCTATTTTGTGTGCTCTGAACAAGACCATGGTGTGTGTACATGACTGTAAGTCGCTTTGGATAAAAGTGTCTGCTAAATGGCTTATTATTACTTGTCTTCCAGTGGAGTTAATTCCTCCATCCCACAGATGGTGATAACTGTTCACTAGTCACCTGGCTTTCCCCACCCTTGGGGGTATGTAGGGTGCTTCTTATCACTTCTGTTCTGGTGGGATCCACTTCCCACTGCTTTTGAGCAGAGTTGTAGTTTGTTTTACCGAAGACCCTGCCCTGTTCACCTGGACTCTGTTATTGATTGTTCCCTCACTCACCAAGGACTTTATTCAAGATAGGATGCTATAATATTCTGGACAATTTTATGTGTGTGGGCTACTGTGCTTTTTTTTTTTTTTTTTTTTGCATTGGGGATGTCTGGCAATGGCCCAGCACATTTGTTGTATGCACCACATCTCTGTTGGAATTATAACAGCATCTCATGACTAGCTATAAAGATACAAATATAATTTAAATAGTATATTCTCAATTGTATTGTGAACTGATTTCTCTGCACTTCTATAGTATTGCTGACGGTGGCAAAGACTGCTTGTCTGTGGCTGTGGTGTGTAGGAATTAAGTGACGTATACGGAAAAGAAGCTGCTCTCGCGAGGGTTTTGCATAGACACGGGGTTTTGATATCAAGGGTTGAGCCAGGTTGAGCCCGTGGGTAAGTGTCCACAAACTGACAGTGATTGTACACAAAGATATCGCGCTTGTAACGATTTCTTGGCATTCGTGGGGATTTAAGCTTGAATAAAAAGTATTGGTCTGTGATAAATGCAGATCCTTTCTGTATTATCAGTTATAAATAGAGCTAATATGGCGACGGTGCTGTGCTTGCAGATGCTACCCTGCCTAAATGGGCGGTGTGGATGGATAGAGCTAGCTAGCTTGATGATGGTGAGGGGCTGTGTAAACAAAACCACCCACATTGTTTTGTTAGCTCGTGCTGAATTTATCAACAATTTAAATTGTAACGTTTGTTCCTAATGTTGTGGGTAAATTATGTTGCATTTCATCTGTTTGTCTTCTAAATAAGGACAACGCTAGCTGAATTTAAGCTAGTCAGAAATGTGCTGTCACAGTTTCATAATAACTAGTTAGCTACTGCTGTAACTAGCTAGCTAAATATAAAGTTGTGTCATCTGTCATAATTCGAGTTTCCACTAACCATTTTGATTGATATCCATGGTGTATGACCATCGATGTCTCTCACTCTTTCTCCTGACTCAGACTCAGAGAAAGACCATGCATTTACAAGGGACAGTTGCCAACCTGCTATCAATAAGCTTTGTCCCCACACAAAGTCCTAAGGCATATACAATATTTGACAGAGCCTTCTATAAGGTGATGATCATTGATCTGGAACGTTCTACCTACTACAGTGCAAATCATTATTTGTATTTTGTGTTCCAGGGTATAAAAGGAATTACTGAATATGAGTGATGACAAACCTTTCTTATGTACTGCTCCTGGGTGTGGTCAGGTATGTTTTTAAAGTCCATTTGGTTTGTCTTTGTTAGTTATATATGAAAAGTGTTATATCTGTAAATGTATATATTGTTTCATCATTCCATAGCGATTTACAAATGAAGACCACTTGGCTGTCCACAAACACAAACATGAGATGACACTCAAGTTTGGTCCAGCAAGGGACAACAGTGTCATCGTTGCTGGTAAGCACTACAAGAGACAACAAATAAATTATAGTATTAATTCAAGTGGTATGAGAGAGAGAGACCCTATCTTATGTTGCAGACCAAACACCAACACCTACACGCTTTCTGAAGAACTGTGAGGAAGTGGGACTCTTCAATGAGCTTACCAGTCCATTTGAGCATGACTTCAAAAAAGCTGCTGAGGATGACCTCAAAAAGGTGACTAATTACTATTCAGTGGTGCTATCAAAGCTAAGGCTCACTTGGTAGTACAGGTTGCTCCAGATTTGATCTTATCTGATCTGTTAATATTTGTTTCTGACATGCAGATGCCCTTGGATCTGTCGCCTCTTGCCACACCAATGATCATACGAAACAAAATTGAGGACCACTCAACTGCGGAGGCACATCAGGGCAGCACTCTGCCCCATCCGGAATCTACAACGAGTGACGACAAGGTAAAGAATTTGGTCTACTTCATACATTGATATCCTGCTGGATCAGTTGATATGAAGTCTTCAATATTAGTTGCTTGTGACACAGGCATCAGTTGTCTGTAGGGCAATTCTAGATCTTTACTTTTGGACATTAACAAGCAACTATTGTCTCACCGCTTGAACAGCCAGGGTTATATTCAACCCAAACAGTTTCATTCATTGTTGAATGGTGTTCATTGAAGGTTGGACAATACTCTGATTGCTGAAAAAGCAATTGTATTTGCTACCATATAGACTAACTTTACAGACGTGCTGTCATAATTGTGGTCATACAATATCCATGAACTCCAATGGATGGCTTATCAGAGATGTTGCTCAACAACATTGCAATAAGCTCAGAGTGAATTACCCTCAAATGACCACCCAATGTAACAGAGTTAAACTACAGTTTTGAATATTTTGGCATCTCAGGATAAGGTTTACCCTCCTCTTATGCTCATTTGCAGCATCTTTGAATATTTTCTTCAGACTAGCGTCTCTTACTCCCGAGGGATCCCGAGTGGCGCAGTCGTCTAAGGCACTGCATCTCAGAGCTTGAGGCGTCACTACAGACCCCCTGGTTCGATTCCAGGCTGTACGGCGCACAATTGGCCCAGCGTCGTCCGGGTTTGGCCGGTGTAGGCCGTCATTGTAAATAAGAATTTGTTCTTAACTGACTTGCCTAGTTAAATAAAGAAAAAATAAAAAAACAAAATTACTGGGATCACTGAAACTGGTTTCCTTCCACGGTGCCTTGGTTGATGGTTTCACTGCTTCCCAAAAATATGACACAGTAGTACCAGAACAGCACAACATTATTTGGATAAATAAATCCCTTTATATTTTGTACATCAGATCCTTGTCTATTAGCAGTTAGTAATCAATCTATATTTTATTCTGTACTATAAGAATGACATAAAACTAGGGCATTCTTTCTTAGTTGAAATCTAGAGAATGGTTGTCATTGAACGTTTTAATGCAGCTAAGGTCTCGTATGGTGTTTTCAGGAGGTATCTTTGCAGCCGACCTCAATGCCAACCTCTACTATAGTCCATCCTGCATCCCTCCAAGTCCCCAATGTACTCCTAGCAACCTCAGACGCTAGTGTTGTTATACAGCAAGCTCTCCCATCGCCAACATCTAGCTCTGTAATTACCCAAGTCCCATCCTCTAATAGGCCAATAGTGTAAGTAACAAAAAAATGTTAATTATTTGATATTTTTTGTAGAACTTCTTTGTGTGTTTTTGCTTAATTTATTTTTTGTAATTAGGTTTTGTGTCTTTATGGTTTTGCATTTTGTGGTAAGATGGTTCATTGAAAAGTATGCTCTTTGGTTTGTTGTCAGTGACCAATACTGGTACCATATTGTATGAGTACAGATCCATAACGTTATGCTGTCCATGTTACGTTACCTTATGTTCCTTTGAGTGTCTGTTTTGTGTTTCTTTGTTGTAGTGTGAAGTGTATGATAACATTCTTAAATGAGAAATAATTGACTACGTAACATGACTAGATATTATATTGCTGGTTGTTGTGTAACCCATAGTGTCCCTTCTCTCCCCTCCAGTCCAGTCTCTGGCACTTTTCCTGTACTCTTTCAGCTGCCTAATGGACAAACCATGCCCGTCGCAATCCCAGCAACCATCGCATCCAGTGTACATATTCCAACCGCAATTCCTGTAAGTATCGCATGTCATGCTCGTTGCTTTATGGAGTTCCAATGTGTATTTTAAATGTATGGATTTCCAATGTGCTGCACACTCGCTCAGAACCATTTAAACTAGGCCTAAATCCACATTCCAGTGATTAGTTAATGCCATGTATCAGCATTCCGCCCCTAGAACAGGCTCACTATTTACTGATTTGGCACTAGTGTCTTTGGCATGCGTTGGACAGGCAGGGGACGATGGGTGAACTAATGGGCCTTAGAAGAGAGCAGCTGTATGTCACCTTGGCAAAGACAGTGAGTAGGCCAAACGGTTGTATGTTCCAGTCCAGGGTGCCTCATTGCCATTTGTCCTTGTACAATTTGAATCACCACACTTGACTTCTGGCAGACTGGATGTGTTGCAATCAATTAATATGCCACCCTGGATATTATGCTTCAGTGTCCGTTAAGGACATTAGCTAATCTAGCCATATCGTAGGCCCTATAGAAATCTCCCTGTCCCTAGTTCCCCCAGAGTGACGTGTGGCTGGTGACGATAGACCGACAGGGTCCCTGTCTTGTTCTCTCTGGCCCTGATTGTCTGTGTGGAACACTGAGCAGCAGATGATTATCTCCTGATGGCGACGCAGCGGGGAAAATACCTCCATTCTCCCAGTCTGTGGGGAGCCACTGACGAAGAAAGGAAGGAAGAAAGGAAGAGATCCCACTGCTAGGTCTCCTCTCCCCTCCTCCCTTCATCCACTTTCCTCTCCTCCTCTCTCTTTTTCCATCCATCTCATTGTCAGGTGATGGTAGAGGAGACCCAGCTCTGGCCTTCCAGCTCGTCTCTCTCCATCCCTCTCCTGTGCTTAGCCCTTCTGTCCATATGCTTTCCACACAGGCAGGCAGGAGCTCATTAGCGTACATGGTGCATCTCCATGTGGCGCTGCCTCCACAAAATAACAGGCCATCCAGCCTAATGAGGCTGAGATATGAGGAAAACTCTGAGTGTACGGCGCTGTGTGTGTTCATTTTGGGAGGGGAGGGGGCTGCCTGCCTCTCACTGGGAGAGACTAATTCTCCTTGTGCTGGTCTCTGTGTGTGTCTGTGCTGTCAGCTTGTCAGACCCGTCACCGTAGTGCCTAACGTCCCTGGGATCCCTGGACCCCCCTCGCCTCAAGCCGTCCAATCAGAAGCTAAGCTGGTAATGTCTTTGTCTCATACACATACCATCAAGGGTTCTGTGCATATGTGCTTGCCTGAAATTTCCCCGAACTATGTCAAATTGATCCACAAAGTAATGTTACATTTGGATTATGTACAATAGTATTAAATGTCAATACTGTAGGTACTATGTTAGTACTGTAGTTCCTTGCTTTAACCAGAAGAGGGAACTAGAAACAAGTGTTTTACAATGTTATTAGCAGTTTTTATTTTATATAAATTGTCATTAAAGTTGAATATGTGTTACAGATGCTAGTGAGTAGTGTATGACCATGACCAGACTTTTAAAGGGACACTTCGGGATTTTGGCAATGAGGCCCTTTATCTACTTCCCCAGAGTCAGATGAACTTGTGGATACCAGCATGTTAGTAGATACCCATAGACTTCCAGTCAATGCGCTAATGCTAGTTAGCATTGGCTCGCAAAACTACCTCTAACTTCCTTCATACTAGACACAGAGACATGAAAATGGTATCTAGGAGATCATCTGACTCTGGGGGGGAAAAATACCAAAGTATCCCTTTAATGCCTCAAACAGGGTGGATGAGCAGTGTCTCCAGCCTCTGGCCCTTTGTGTTAGTAGTGATGGTTGAAGGGCAGGGATATGGTCCGTTGTTAGGTAGATCATTGGCACAGTGATGAAGCACGTATCACAGAACCTGTAAGTGTTCACAGCACGCCACTCCTCTGAAAATTAACAGGTAAAGCTTTATAAGGAGGAGGGGTGGGTTGATGGAGTTTAAGCTGGGGTGGGGTGTTTTATTGGGTTTGAGGGGCGCAGGGATGACAAATGCCGAGATAGCGTTGTGCTCAACACGCCGTCGTCGGGGCCAACCGGAGGGGGGCTTCCGCCGAGAGCCAGCTGGGGGCATCTTGGCATGGGCTCAGAGAGGCACATTAAGTCAGCCTCACCCTGCATGGAACCTTTTGTTCAGCAGAATCCTGGCTGACCTGCGCTCCCCCCACCCCCGGTGCCCCCCCCACCACACTCAGCTCATCAGCAAACACCTAATGAGCCCACGTCAAGAAAACAGCCCCCCGCCCAGCCAGCCCCCCACCCACCCTGCTCTCCGGGGGCACGGAGACAGCGCTTTACAAGGACTGATGATGCTGCAAAGACCACAATAATGATAATTAACTTGCTGAATTTAGAAGATTATGCTGTTAATTAGTTGCAAAATAAAGATAAGTAATATAGCGGCAGATGGTTGAATAACACCCATGAGATGGAGGGTTATTACACTGATGAGGTTTCTGTGGCAGAAATGAAATATGAATCTGACTGGCTTCTCCCTCCTTCTATGGGCCATTCCAGGAGAATAATATCTTGTTTCTGCCAGAAGAGCTTCTGGAAGGGTATTACACGATAAACTAATTTGGTAGATAGATTGGTCTGGCAAAAGGTAGTTGTTAGAATAATGTGCTCCTCTGTTCTCCCATGTAAATGTATTCCTGCTCACTTTGTTATGGGTTGAGATGGCTCATTCACCTTCAGCTTGTTTACTCACTGTTTGATGGTGGAGTATTTGGGCTTTAAATAACAGTCTGTCACCTTTATCGAGACGCAGGACGGGTGAAATGTGTTGCCTAGATTTTCATGTGAAACATCAACAATTACAAATATGGATTTGGCATGTGAGTTAATTTCACAGTATGTCGTAGTATATGTCTGTTAGGAGGATCGCCTATAAGATATTTGTTTTGTCTGTAGATGTGTGCGTTCCTGGTGACTTTGTTAGCCAGTTTTATGGCTTGTCTGACAGATGCACAGGGACAGAGAAGGGGGTTGGGCGCTGTAGATGGGGGGGCACTATGGTGTGTGTTATAAACACACCCAAGAGGCAGAGCTTCCCCTGACAAGTTGACATCCCCAGCTCATCAGGGGAATAGGATATTGGCCGTGACAGCTATTAGATTTCCTATGGAAAGACTTTGTTTTGATGTCTAATTTTCTATCATACAGAATATAGTGTTTTGGTTTCGTCTTTTGCAGCTCCTTGTTGTTTTTATCTCATTGGTCTTTTTCAAGACTATGTTCATGACTTTCAACTCAAACAGAACATCCCTACATTGCAGAGTCGTGTTGTCTCATGGCTCATGTGCTCATGTGTTCTTTTCTTCCCCTAGAAGCGGAAGGCGGTACTAAGCCAGCAGCTCCCTCAGGTAACCAATGGAGATGCTGGTGATGTCCAGAGCAGTGCTGTGACCCACACTGTAGCCCCCGCCCTGGCCCCTCCCCCTGCCCCATCTCCGTCTCCTGGCCCTCCCCCGGCCCCGCCTGAGGAACCCTGCCCCCAGACCCTCCAGCAGCCTGCCATCTCCACCACTGAGACGTCTGTGAGTACACTACCACAACTGGCCATCAGAGGGGGCTATGCTTAGTTTGGCTATTCCACAACTACAGTCATTGAAGTACCTTTGTAAGTGTATTATTATATTACTTTGAATTACCCACTCAATAACTAGTGATTATGATGAACATTACGTTAGCCATGAGATACATACTGAGTGGCGCAGTGGTCTAAGGCACTGCATCGCAGTGCTAACTGTGCCACTAGAGATCCTGGTTCGAATCCAGGCTCTGTCGCAGCCGGCCGCGACCGGGAGACTCATGGGCGGCGCACAATTGGCCCAGCGTCGTCCAGGGTAGGGGAGGGAATGGCCGGCAGGGATGTAGCTCAGTTGATAGAGCATGGCGTTTGCAATGCCAGGGTTGTGGGTTCGATTCCCACGGGGGGCCAGTATAAAAAAAAAAAAGATGTATTCACTAACTGTAAGTCGCTCTGGATAAGAGCGTCTGCTAAATGACTAAAATGTAAAATGTAAAATGTACATGTTATAGCCTATGTGTGTGTTATAGAGCTTGATAGGTTGGTTCTGATGAATTTGTGCTGCGCATTCTGTTCTCCATGCCAGGCGTCCAAGGCGCCCCCTGCCCAGCACACCCCGAGCACAGGGGGCCGGCGGCGCAGAGCCACCAGCGAGGACCCGGATGAGAAGAGGCGAAAGTTCCTGGAACGCAACCGAGCGGCGGCGTCCCGCTGCAGACAGAAGAGGAAGGTCTGGGTGTCTTCACTGGAGAAGAAGGCTGAGGACCTCAACTCTATGAACGGACAACTACAGGTATATACATACATATATATATATATATATATATATATATATATATATATATATATATATATATATATATATACACACACCTCAGCTCGGTCTACCATATAGTAACTGCTTATTGCATCAGGTATGAGGGATTATACTGTGTGTGCATTTTTTCCCCCCTTATTTGGTGATGAAGTCATTAAAGCCTATTAAGAGGAGTTGCGGTGTGACAGCGGCGGTGTGCGAGCCCCGTTCTCCGATACATCCCTGTCAATAAAGATGTATCCTCCAGATGTCAGCCGCACACAAGCGTGTCCTCGCTTCTGTCTCAGCAGTTTACTGGATGGCCTCTAAAATCTCTCAGGGAAAGGTGTCTTTTTGAACCTTCATTTTGCAGAAAGCAATTAGGATCTGACGCTGACAAGTTCTCTACAGTTCATGTAACTGTTGTCTCTGTTGATAAGTGTGATCTGGGGTGCGGCACATCGGCGTTCCACACAATTAAATGAGATGTGCTGTTTATTTGCTTGCTGTCTTATTTGTCCATGAAGGCAAAGTAAGACATGAGGGGGAGGGGTTGAGGCGGAGGAGGGGAGAAGAGAACACGGGAAAGGGGGAAATGAAATGGAGGTTGGGGGATTGTGATTAATTTCCGTTACAATAACAGATTGTCACCACTGATGGTCATCGGTGTGCCTGCTAAGGGTTAAATGAACGCAGGCAGATGAAGGTGGAGAGACTGATTGAGGAAGGATGGGGTTGCAGAGAGCAGCACTGTTAACTATGAGGAACGGAATAAGTCACGGCGAAAATTGAATGTCACAGAATGAAAGTGTTCTTTATATGAAGGCATTAATCAGCGGTGCGGTTTTAGTTATAACTCCCGTGCTGACACGTTGGCCCAGCTGATCAGCGGAGTGGGCCCTAATGATGCACGATTACTATAACATCATCCTTAACGGGCTTTTTTAATGAGGTGTCAGAGCAGGCAGCAACCCACAGGGCTCCCGGCCTCCGAGTCAGGAAGGAAAGGACCATTTGCTCCCATTCTATTAATTCACAAACTTAGAAACAACTTAAACTTCTTCAGGCCGCCATGCTTTATCCTACTGTATGACAGCATGATGTATATTGATTGGATAAGGAATGCAGCCATTTCTGTTTTTCTGGATTTAACATCCAAGTTGTAGTAATACACCTTATCCGATCTGGTGTTGTTTAGTTGTTCCACCAATGCAGTAGTAACAATAACAAATGACCTGATTGTCATTCATACCAGGTTAGATTCCTCCACATCATGCGAACAAAGCTATGTCTTTATGGTATTCGGAATACAGTAGCTAGTTTAATCAAAGTAGTCGCTAAACACTGCCTGTTGAGGCCACCCAACATCTAGCAATACCATAACATCTATTAACTGTAGCCATGCTAAAATATCTCTCTGTGAGCTGCACCTGCACTGGAGGGCTGATGTTCTAAACTAAAGGGAGTAGAGGAAGAGGTGGAGAGGATGAGCGTCTTTGCAAAGCAGCAGTGGTAGCTAGGTTGTGTATCTGTAATGGGAGATGGCAGCGTAGTGAGCGTGGTGTGGTAGAGATGTGTAAAGGCTCTACCAGCTGTTTTAAATCTGTCTCACAACAGCCCAAACGGATAGATTCACATAAATTGGCCGCTTTAAGACTAATCGATTAAGAGGCCATAGTCCTTTTTTAAAAGGAGAATAGAAAGAGTCTAAATCTGCCATAGGGTGTTCTCTGGGCCCCCGGCTGCTCTGATTTCAGTGAAAGTCACCTTCAGCGTAATGTGGCCTCTCTTTACTGCATGCAGAATCCCCAGCTCCCACAGGGCTGTAATGACACGGGAGTGTAAATCTCAGCAGAATCCACAAAGTTGTGCTGACAATCGGAAGAGCTCACCTCTGACAAATGTGTTGGTCGGGAGCCAGTAAAGAGCCATAATTATAGCGCAGGAGCAAAATAATTGAAAAAGTGCATCATACTTTATTCACCTTGCCATCCATTATCCAGTTAGCTACCTTTCCCTGTGTCTGTTCTTCTTCATGGGGGGGGGGGGGGAAATACGAGTATGTGTGCAGTAATGTAATGGTCATATGGGCCTCTCATACAGACAGAAAAAGAGAGAGAAATGTCTTGTGGTTGTCCCTTTGTCAAATAAAATCACAATGGTTTTGGGTACTGAGAAAATAGTAGCTAAAGAACCCCCCCACCAGCCTGAATGTTTTCACTTTTCAGAACTGGGGAATGTGTGTATGCTGGCTGTTGTGATGTAAACAGATTCATTCAGCACTTCACAGCCTCCCATACAGACAGTCATGGATGTCTGATGGTTTGGCAGGTCATGCTCCTCATGGAATGGGGAAGGTGAAGGTTTAGCCTAAATATACTATATTGCAATCAGAGATGCATACTATACAGATGGTTCTCAGACTCAGGTCAGCAGAGTATACTGTAAAAGTTCACGTGTGGGACGTGTCTGTATGAAAGTATGTGGCAGTCAGTCAAGTCTCCAAAGTGGCCATTTTATGGAGTGTGTGTTGTCTGTTTCCCTTCTCTCTGGCAGAATGAAGTCACCCTGCTGAGAAATGAAGTGGCTCAGCTGAAGCAGCTTCTTCTGGCTCATAAAGATTGCCCTGTAACTGCCATGCAGAAGAAATCTGCCTATCACAGTGAGTTATGTTCCATTATCCTCAGCCCCAGGCCGCCCAGCATATACGTCCAAAACGAGCCCCGCTAACCGCTCGCCAGAGGGACACGTCTCGCTCATCGCCTAGCCGAACACCTCCAGAGCTATGGACACATTAGGCCATTCTCTGTTTTAAAAAAACTTCGGAGAAGTTTGTCTATTCATATGCCTTTTTGTCTCATGCAAGTCGTCTGTTTTGAGCTGTCATTTCAAGTCGTATTGTTTTAAATGTGCTTTACCTGCACCATTATGGAAGCCTAAATGCAGAGTAAAGGCATCAGTAGTAAAGGCATCAGTCTTTAGCTTTTTATTCTTTAATGATGCCTTTTCGAAATATGCAAATCTGTGCATAGTGTCTGCCATATGCAGCCTCTTAGTTTCAATTTGCTGTTGTCAGTAGAACGGGTGTCTGGGAGGCGATGGTTGACTCACTTTGCCCAGAAGTGCCTGTTCCTCAGGTGCTCGTTGTAAAACTTAATGGCTGCCAGGTTTCACCAGTCACTGTGTAAGCACTTTTGTAAGAACAGGCTATACTTTTTAATTTCCTCCATTTCAGCCCCCTTTGCCTCTCGATTTTTGTCAGTTCAGCTTTGTGCTCATAACTCACCATCTCTCTTTAGCTGGGCCAATATGCAGAACGTGTACGCAGAGCCACGTCTCGGCAGTGCTCAGGAGTCTGCCGCTGACTTGTATTGACAATGATTGCCTCCAAAATGAGTCCATTATAGCTGAGAGCTTGACAAGACTGCGGAGCTTTCTCAATGAGTGGTGCCGCGGCCACCGAGCGCCACTGTTCCTTCTACATCCCTATTGTTAACCATAGCACTGTCGCTGACACGTCTCATGCATATTATGGGACTGATGGCTCCCAGGCTGTATTGGCCTGTCACAGACGGGGCTCATTTGGTTGTCTGGATTGTTTTGACTACCATTTGCAGATGAATTGGGTCATCTTTCTCACATATATTGTTGCGAATTCTTCCTATCTTAGACCTCGGTGAAGGCTGATCGCTTGCAGCTAGTTGATAAAGTGGAGAAATATAGCCTAGCTTCATCTAATTATCCTATTACTTTACGGAAGCATTCTGTTGTTGAAAGGTGAGGTTGAGTTAGATGATACCAGACTCTGCTATACTATAGCTCGTTATCAATCAAACGTTACAATAGCGTTCGAGTTGGCTGCTGGGGGGGCAAGGAGAGTCCCCAGCACTGCTTAAACCGTTTTCAATGGATTGTTAAATACATTTGATAACTATTTGATTTTTAATATCACCTCTTGAAGAGCATAGTCAAAACTACACATTTCCGATTATTCCACATTTTAGCTCTATCGTCAGAGTTTTACAGCAATCAGTAAACATCAACTGATTTAAGTATTTTCATATTCAGTCCTAGCTATAAAGCAAACAACGTGTCATTTAGCTTGCTTCATTAGAGATTAAGCTTTTGGAAAGAGCTTGACATCGTTCTGGTAAAGTTGTCAGTCGGACTACTGTCATCACCACTATAGATGGCAAGCAAATCAGACAATATTTGGATGTAGCCATCTAGTTTATCCCCTGAAAGTTAGCTTGTTAACTAGACATGTTGATGTGAAACAGTGCCTTCGGAAAGTATTCAGACCCCTTGACTTTTTCCACATTTTGTTAGGTTACAGCCTAATTCTAAAATTGATTAAATTGTTTTTTCCCCTCATCAATCTACACACAATACCCCATAATGACAAAGCAAAAACAGGTTTTTAGAAATTTTTGCAAATGTATTAAATATGAAAAACTGAAATATCACATTTACATAAGAATTCAGACCATTTACTCAGTATTTTGTTGAAGCACCTTTGGCAGCGATTACAGCCTCAAGACTTCTTGGGTATGACGTTATAAGCTTGGCACACCTGTATTTGGGCAGTTTCTTCCATTCTTCTCTGCAGATCCTCTCAAGCTCTGTCAGGTTGTATGGGGAGCGTTGCTGCACAGCTATTTTCAGGTCTTTCCAGAGATGTTCGATTGGGATCAAGTCCGCACTCTAGCCGGGCCACTCAAGGACATTCAGAGACTTGTCCCGAAGCCACTCCTGCGTTGTCTTGGCTGTGTGCTTAGGGTCGTTGTCCTGTTGGAAGGTGAACCCCAGTCTGAGGTCATGAGCGCTGTGGAGCAGGTTTTCATCAAGGATCTCTCTGTACTTTGCTCCGTTCATCTTTCCCTCGATCCTGACTAGTGTCCCAGTCCCTGCCTCTGAAAAACATCCCCCCATACATGATACTGCCACCACCATGCTTCACCGTAGGGATGGTGCCAGGTTTCCTCCAGACGTGACGTTTGCCATTCAGGCCAAAGAGTTCAATCTTGGTTTCATCAGCCCAGATAATCTTGTTTCTCATGGTCTGAGAGTCTTTAGGGGCCTTTTGGCAAACTCCAAGTGGGCTGTTTGTGCCTTTTACTGAGGAATGGCTTCAGTCTGGCCACTCTACCGTAAAGGCCTGATTGGTGGAGTGCTGCAGAGATGGATGTCCTTCTGGAAGGTTCTCCCATCTCCACAGAGGAACTCTGGAGCTCTGTCAGAGTGACCATCGGGTTCTTGGTCACCTCCCTGACCAAGGCCCTTCTCCCCCGATTGCTCAGTTTGGCTGGGCGGCCAGCTCCAGGAAGAGTCTTGGTGGTTCCAAACTTCTTCCATTTAAGAATGATGGAGGCCACTGTGTTCTTGGGGACCTTCAATGCTGCAGACATTTTTTGGTACCCTTCTCCAGATCAGTGCCTCGACACAATCCTGTCTCGGTGCTCTACGGACAATTCCTTCGACCTCATGGCTTGGTTTTTGCTCTGGCATGTGCTGTCAACTGTGGGACCTTTATGTAGACGGGTGTGTGCCTTTCCAATCAATTTAATTTACCACAGGTGGACTTGAATCAAATTGTAGAAACATCTCAAGGATGATCAATGGAAACAGGATGCACCTGACCTCAATTTCGTGTCTCATAGCAAAGGGGCTGAATAATTATGTAAATAAGGTATTTTTTTATTGTATTTTTTATAAATTCGCTAAAATTTCAAAACCGTTTTTGCTTTGTCATTATGGGGTATTGTGTGTAGATTGCTGAGGATTCTTTAAAAAAAAAAGCAATTTTATAATAAGGCTGTAACGTAACAAAATGTGGAAAAAACCAAGGGGTCGGAATACTTTCCGAAGGCACTGTATGGTAATGGCTAGCTAGCCAATTTGACGTGGTCCATCAATCAATGTAGCCTATCATGTCTGTCAGCAGCAATCGTGATTAAACACTATTTAAAAACGTTGAAAATGGTATAACTTTAGCTAACTTCACTAGGTAAGCCTACGTTGGTTGAAGAAAAAAGTACATTAGGTCTACTTTCCACTATGTTTAGCCAACAGTACAAAGTTTCTACCGGTAGCTGGCAAAGTAAACATTAGCAGCTAACAGTAACGTTACATCGGCAATGCGCCAGTGGTGGAAAAAGTACCCAATTGTCATACTTGAGTTAAAGTAAAGATGCCTTAATTGAAAAGGACTCAAGTAAAAGTGTGTGAATGGACCATTTTCCTGTCCTGCTAAGCATTCAAAATGTAACGAGTACTTTTGGGTGTCAGGGAAAATGTATGGAGTAAAAAGTACACTATTTTGTTTAGGAATGTAGTGAAGTAAAAGTTGTCAAAAATATAAATAGTAAGGTAAAGTACAGATACCCAAAAAAACTACTTAAGTAAAAATAGTTTAAAGTACTACTTAAGTACTTTACACCACTGCAATGCGCCCTTTTGCTGCTTGACAGGCAGACCCCACGAAGGATGGTGAAATTAAGCTAAACCACTCATACTTGTCAGGTATAGTTCACTTTTACTTTATATCACTCAAATATCCAATTAATGGTGGCCAATATTGAGAGATGTCGTGAGGCTACCCTCACGTATCTGAAATTACATGGTCAATTGATGTTTACTGAGCATGAGCTAAATGTGCGCAATTGTTTTGCATGGAATAATCGAAAATGTGTAGTTCTGACTATGCTCTTCAAGAGGTGATGATATTACAACCAAATAGTTAACATTTATTTAACAATCCATTGAAAACGGCGTAGTTGTCAATGGTTTTAGCGGAGCTGGGAGTCTCCTTGCCCCCCAGCAGGCAAATCGAACGCAATGCACCTTAGTGTGACGTTTTATTCATAAAGACCCATACTGTCAATACTGTGACAACATAAGGCAGATCATGTAAAGATTCCATCATGGTCTTGCCTCAGCGCAGAGGTCTTTTCAGCCACTCTGTGTTTCCTCCCAGTCCTAGTGGTCCCCCAGGCCCCCAGCATCCTCCATCCCTGTCTGATAACATGTTTCCTCATCCAGCCCAGGCCCAGGCACACTGCTACAGCAGGTGGGAGGATATTACCCAGCCTGCCCTACAAAAAAGCCAGACCATGCTTCCTCTTGGCACACTGAGCTGTCCATCTGCTTATGGTGAAAACCACATCAGAAATGAAGGAAATAATAAATGAAGTAAGGCTGCTTTGGGTAACTAGTAAAGCTGCATATGATAATATATCAGCAGTCCACTCTCGCCTTCCGCTCCTGTGCTTAATGCCATTAGGAGTAATAATACACACTGGAATATGGAACAAAAAGCCTGATTTACAAGGAGATCGACCTTATGCAGGGAGAAATGGCAGAGCGATTTACGGTGCTTTGACATTCACCTGCACTAAATCACCTGATCAAAGTCTGGTCAATACGAACGCAAAGGGAGCCCTACACACACAGGGCCTTTTAAATGCAATTTTATTGCACACTTCTCTTATTTTGGAATCTGTATCTCACATTCTCAAATACCAAGCCCAATCGTTAATTACCTAGTGCCATTTCAACTGACTTCATATCATTAGCTATATTAATTATCATAGTGGTCCTCATTCCTTTGAGTCGGAGCATGAGAGAGGATCTTTTTCCATCAGGATCCAATTAACTCAATGCAACTGCCTAACAGCTGGTGGCATTTCGACTCCAAGTCTTGCATACTCTCCAGTGTGAGCATCATTAAAATCAGGTGCTGTAATCATCTGTCGCTGCAGTAGTTGGCAAGGTAGCAAAAAACAAATGAGAACGCAGTGAGGAGTGGGAAACACTGCCACATGCCCCACAATTTTAATGTCCCCTTATGATGTTGGTTTAAATTGACATTGTAACTTTAATTAATAGCAGAAAAAAATGGTAAGTAGTGTTAACAAAATGTCCTAGGATATACATATTAGTCCTAAATAGATTGGCCAACAGAGGTTACTCCTGATCCTATTTTGGAATATGAGTATAGTGCAATGAATATAGGCTATGCATTTTGATGAAGTGAGTCATCTACTTTAACAAGCACTTCTGTGGCAATAATGTACTGTGTAAAACAGGTGATGAACAAACCGTAAAGCTGAAACAGGCTTTTTTTTTTTTACTCACTGTGTGTGTGTGTTTGAAGCATCTGAGAAGGAGGACCGCTGTGAGGAGATGTCAGTCCCAGGCAGCCCCCAGAACGAGGCCATCCAGCACAGCTCCGTCAGCACCTCCAACGGAGTCAGCTCCTCCTCCATGACCCCTGCTGCCTCCGCCCCCGCAACAGCAGACCAGAGCACAGAGGATGGCCAGGCACAGGGGGGCGCTGCCCTGTCCACCATCCAGACTCAGCCCTCAGGAAGCTGATCACCCCCACCACACCGCAGGCAGTGCCCCAGCCTCGCTGCTGCCTCTGTAGGGGAAAGGAACTCTCACTCTGCTTCTGTTTGGACTATACTGTCTCTGCTCATTGTTTGGTTTCTGTGTCTTTCGATGTTCTTGGAATGCAATGGTTTGTTGGATTTTTGGTAAAGATGCAAAATAAGTCCCTTTACGAATGGTTTGAAGATGGATGATTGTCTTATTTCCTCCTCGTTTTGTATTCATTTGATTTATTTATTGACTGTGTACACATGTCCTTTTTGTTTTGGACCTCTGTGAACTATGAAGTTGTAATGATTGAGTCAGTGCATTGTCAATGAGACCTTACCAAAGTGTGTTGTGGCTCACTTGGAATGTATTTGTTTTTAATGTCCTTTTATAAGCACTATCTTTATCTTATGGTGAGAAGATGTAAGGAGCAGTCACTTTTTTTTTATTGTTTAGCCTTTTTCATTTTGCACATAACAACAGATGAAGGGTTTAACTTTTTAGTGTTTTTTGATTGTTCCAATAAGACGTACTGGCAGCTTTTTGAGGTAGATTTCAATACCTGTCTCGTTACAAAACTTCAACGGTTTAATCAGATTTTAACTGACAACGTTTTTGTGAGTGATTTAGTTTGGCTACGTCTGCCGGTAGGTAGCATGATGTGGTTTAAATGTTCAGAGTTGCCTCCACTTGTAAAATAGAAGCTTGGGTAGAATTATATGTGCATTCTTTGACCAACATTCAATTTGTAGTTTGATTGTTCCATGAAGCAGTGAATGTAGGATTGCAGTACATTTTACATTACATAAACATGTTGATGTTGACTTAACCATGTGCCATTAAGTTTATCACACAGATTGATTTGTCACTAGAATTAGTATGAATTATGTTTTCCATCATGAGCGTTTCCATGTACATAATTGCTTGGTGTAGGAGATATGTTTCTGCTTACTAAGTGACTTGCTTTGATGTTTGACTCTGAACACTCTTGAGGAAATATTACACTTACTCCTTAAGTTAAGAATATTACATTTTTAGGAAACATTGTGAATAACATCATTACTAATACATTGTGTTTTTTCCAGATGTCATAATTTTTTTTTTATAGAATAGTTTTAATCATGTATTAGAGTCCTAATAAGACGTTTTATTTGTATTAAAAAAATATCAACTTGAGGAACCTTTACTGGCTTCCGACCTAAAACTAAGGCTCTGTTTGCCTTGCGTAGTACAGTACCTTTTAAAAACACTGAACAGAATAGAATCACATACTGCTGCGCAATAAACTTAATGAGGAATCAATGATGTATGTTTAAGTTGAGCTAATACTGCTTTTAAGCTTAGTGACATTTTAGAAAGTAATTGTAGTTTGCAAATCATACAATTATTTCGGATCAAATTGCCTTTTCTCTTTAAATGTATTGGCTTACTACTGTGTAGTTTAATGAGACACTACTGTGTTTTTTCTTCAGATATAATCTATTCCTTTTTATTTAACAGGTTTTTTTGTACTGTCACTTATGTGCTCTCAGCATGATTTAAATAATTCTCTGAGAGAATTAAACTGATATTAAATAATGTCTCCGTCAAATAAGTAACATTGAACATGTTTCAACTTGAGTTATAACTAGCTGGTCTTAAGTTTATGAAAGGTTTTGTAAATTATTTTACCCCGGCTTAACTGCTTAAAAGGGGTGTGATATTGTGTTGGCAGTAAACTTGTAACTTGTGAAAGTTATGTATAAAGTACAGTATCCTAAATTAATAAGATGTAATAAATCTTTTAATATCTCTTTAAATCCATTTCTGCCTCCTGGATTTTTCTTTATTACTTAGGGAGGCAACCAAAGAGCTGGCAGAGGAGGCAAAAAAGGGAAGCTTCTGGCTGTGGCTGAGGAGGAAGGACATGAGTAGGGGAACAAAGAGCTAACATCTGAAGGAAGGCCAGTTGTAAGGGGGTGGCACCCTGCCACTGCTCCGCCACCAGAAGATGTACCTGCACAGTGAGCAAAACATTGAGGAGTGTTGGTCCCAGGACTGATGACCATGTAGCTCCTTGTCTACTGACACCGTTGGAGGTGCGACAGGCAGAGATGTCAAGAAGGTAACCATGGATATACAGAAGTAGGTCGACACCACTTCAAAATAGTGGATTCTGCTATTTCAGCCACATCCGTTGCTGACAGGTGTATAAAATCGAGCATGCAGCCATGCAATCTCCATAGACAAACATTGGCAGTAGAATGGCCCTCAGTAACTTTCAACGTAGCAACGTCATAGGATGCCACCTTTCCAACAAGTCAGTTCGTCAAATTTCTGCCCTGCTAGAGCTGCGCCGGTCAACTTTAAGTACTATTATTGTGAAGTGGAAATGTCTAGTAGCAACAACGGCTCAGCCGTGAAGTGGTAGGCCACACAAACTCACACAACGGGATCGCAGAGTGCTGAAGCGCGTAAAAATCGCCTGTCCTCGGTTGCAACACTCACTACCGAGTTCCAAACTGTCTCTGGATGCAACGTCAGCACAAGAACTGTTCATCGGGAGCTTCATGAAATGGGTTTCCATGGCTGAGCAGCCGCACACAAGCCTAAGATCACCATGCGCAATGACAAGGATTGGCTGGAGTGGTGTAAAGCTCGCCACCATTGGACTCTAGAGCAGTGGACACGCGTTCTCTGGAGTGATGAATCACGTTTCACCATCTGGTTCGGGCTAAGCCCCTTAGTTCCAGTGAAGGAAAGTCTTAACGCTACAGCATACAGTGACATTCTAGACGATTGCTTCCAACTTTGTGGCAACAGTTGGGGAAGGCCCTTTCCTGTTTCAGCATGACAATGCCCCCATGCACAAAGCGAGGTCTGTACAGAAATGTTTTGTCGATATTGGTGTGAAAGAACTTGACTGGCCTGCACAGAGCCCTGACCTCAACTCCATCGAACACCTTTGGGATGAATTGGAACGCCGACTGCGAGCCAAGCCTAATCGCTCAACATCAGTGCCCGACCTCACTAATGCTCTCGTGGCTGAATGGAAGCAAGTCCCGGCAGCAATGTTCCAACATCTAGTGGAAAGCCTTCCCAGAAGAATGGAGGCTGTAATAGCAGCAAAGGGGGGACCAACTCCATATTAATGCCCATGATTTTGGAATGAGATGTTCGACCAGCCGGTGTCAACGTACTTTTGGTAATGTAGTGTATCTGTATAAAGCATGTGGGGTATAACCAGTTGTGCAGACTAGATAGTTGCTTCTTTCTGACTCAAAACATGCTTTCTTTGGACCATTTCACCATTTCATTATTTGTGTCTTTATTGTACTTAAAGATGTAATCTGCAGTAGGGGGAAACTGTGCCACTGGCCGCCCCACCACCATTGTTTTTGTTTTTTTTGCCGAGCTGAGGAGCGTCGCGCAGCATGGTAAAAAATTTTTTGCAGTACATATTGTGCTCTTCTATTTCATGTGCAATGATGTACGAGGGGAAAAAACTGTGTTCGTCGTTTGCAGTAACTTCTCTGTTGTAATATCGTAAACGGACATGGCTTTTTCACCATTAAAGGGTCCAGCTTTAACTGCTGACTGAGACTATTCTGTGTACATTTATTGTGGTGTATTCTGCCACCTGGTGGATATTGTGCAATGAGTTTTGGCGTGGGTCAGTGAGTACAGAAAAACCTGCAACAAACCCCCTCAAGACTCAGCAAACCTTCAGTGAAAGATGAGTTTCAATTACAAATATAACAGATAATTCAATGCTTTGATAGATCAACATGACATACAGTATGTAATAACATATAATAATATGATAATGAAGGGTAATGACAACCCGAGGATGGTAACGTGTCGATAGATATATGTTTAGTGTGCAGGTGGCAGCTCTATGGCATCATCCTTGTTCAGCTGATAAGTACCAGTGTGGGAACTGTTAGCTTGAATGCCAGAGTTACGATAAGACATTGGTATCCCAGCACACATAGTACAGGAGAAACGTCTGTTCTGAGAGAACATCAGCAGAGTACTGCTCCAGTGTTTCCTCAGTGTGAAGGCTTTATATCCAAAGAAAATTAGGACAACAATAATAACCAGGGTATTGGTGGCACTCAAGTACAATATTATAATGTGAGGCTCAGGCCCTGATAACTATTCAGCATCTGTGATGATACCAAGACAGAGATCACAAGAGGCTGCATGGCAGACTTGCTCATGGACGACACTTTCCACACATACAAAATAGGGTGTTGAGGGTTACAAACGGTGCCCTGTTTGACATTAACAAACCTATTGAACTTAGCTGTTGTATCAAACTGGTCGTACATTACCTTAAAGTACAAATTTTGTCTGTCAGCTTTCGCCAAACTCCATTCAATGACAGCAGAGCTGAAGGTGACTATCCATGCTGATATGTTGATTATCACCTGATTGTAGGTACATGCATCATTGACTGTAATTTCCACAGGGAACACTTTGGTTGGAGTTGTGGTTTGCACTGATATTGATTGGATTGTTCTGTTTCCAGGGGGCAATATTCCAACTGCTGATTCATTTGGGTAATGCTGTGACTCTGAAACATCACGCTTGTTCGCATTTCTGATGATCACAACAGGAGTAGCAGTCTTATGTGTCTGTATTTCCTTACTGTTGACAATGTTTATCTCTGACAGCCATGTGTTGCAGGCAAAGGCGATTGCTCTGGAATTGACATGGGGGAGTGCATCACTGCACATGCTGTTGTTGCTCCGGATCAATGCACTGCTTATGGCACCCAGGTACTGCCCTCTCAGAGTTTCAGGTTGAGAGCACCTCCCAGAATCACTGAGACGTCTGTTACTGCTCGTCTCAAGCCATCTTTTTAAGCAAAGTATTCTGCAGTCGCAGTCCCATGGGTTCTCATCCAGACTGAAATATGACAGCTGAAGGCTGCTTTCCAATGCCTTTGGACTTAAGTGCGAGAGTATGTTGCGGTTCAGTTTCAGAACCCTTAGATGTGTTAAACCCACAAA